ATTCCGAACGTCAACGGTACGTCGAAAATAATTTCTGGTAATTTTGACTGAAATAAAATAATTCCGAAAAATAATATCGGAACTAAAAATATAATTTATACTGATAAATAGTCGGGATATTACACTTCATCTTCTAGAAAACTCCCAAGTCTCCTAATCCCAAGAGAAGATTCTAGTAGGAATTTTATTCTCCTAATTAATTAATTATTATGGAATAAAATTAACTCCTATTTAATGGAATTAAATAATAAAACATCCCACTAGAGTAATATTATTGCTCTCCCCATTTAGCCTCTATTTTACCAATAAAATCGAGCGTCCATGATTAAATAATATTAATCTGATTGATCGATTTACCTCCCTATGTTTAAGATATAATGTCCGTTGATTAATTAAATTACTGACAAAGTAATTAATCAACTTCTTATTCATTTCCGAAATTAGTACCACTCAGCCTTTAACCATTATGTCAGACAATCGTCTACCTGCAGGGTTTAACATAAGGTTCCTTTATGAGCTCATTTCGGGGACATCATCAATCCAGCGCACTGGAACATAGTGACTGTAAATAATCTATAATAGCACATCATATAATTATTCTTACTTACCAAAATACCTCGTATGTCATCCTAACAGAATAGGAATCACTTGGTAAATCAAATAAATAAGAAATAAAAATATATGCCTATTTTATATTATTTTACAGCTTAAGAGAACGCATCAATCACTGAAGGTCTAGGTTACGACTACAGTCAGTGAGTCTCATATCCTTATCCTTCCGTGGTCCTGTTCAACACTTAACATAAGTGCTAGTGTAATCCTTCAGTCAAAGACCAACTGAAACGGGAATACACTACAGTCTTTTTCCAAGTGGGGTCTCACTGCCAGTCTAGACTGTGAACGAATAGTTTAGTCTTATAAGGAACCGCTAGGCGATCTTTCCGTTCGAAACTCTTCGAACCACACTATCTCAATATAAGACATGGAGTATGTATTGCATAAATAAATAAACTGCAAACATATGTACTTTGACCGAAACATGATTGCCAGATCAAAATGGAATAGATATAAACTACAAAACACAGCTTTTACAGCATACCTCTGACAATCTCCCACTTATGCTTTATAAGCTCATGGCTAAACAAAAATAACCACAATTTCTTTCAATCTAATTCTCAAAGACTAGTCTCCTATGTTGCCCTAACATCTGAATCCCATTCCTTCTACGTGTCTCGTAAAGACTTTCGTCAGTAGGCTCTTCGTAAAAGGATCTGCTAGGTTGTCCTCTGATTGTATCTTGGCAACAACGACTTCTCCTCGTCCAACGATTTCTCGTATCAGGTGGTACTTGCTCTCTATGTGCTTACTTGCTTTATGAGTCCGTGGTTCCTTCGAATTTGCTACTGCTCCGCTGTTATCACAGAACATTGTGATTGCAGCGGGCAAACTCGATACCACATCAAGGTCGAGGAGAAAATTCCTGAGCCAGACAGCTTCTTTCGCTGCCTCTGAGGCTGCTACATACTCAACCTCCATGGTTGAGTCCGCCACGCATTTCTGCTTGATACTCCTCCATACAATGGCTCCTCCTCCTAAAGTAAACACAAACCCTGAGGTTGACTTGCTTTCGTCCCGATCTGCCTGAAAGTCAAAATCGGTGTAACGCAACGGATGCAACTCATCTGCCTGGTAAACCAACATGTACTCCTTAGTCCTACGAAGGTACTTGAGTATATGTTTTACCGCAGACCAATGTTCCGGCCCTGGATTACTCTGATATCTTGCTACCATGCCCACGGCATAACAAATATCAGGTCGCGTGCACAACATCGCATACATGAGGCTTCCTACTGCCGATGCATAAGGAACTGCCTTCATGTCCTCTATCTCCAGAGGCGTCTTCGGGGACATCCTCTTAGATAGAGGTATTCCGTGCCGAAAAAGCAAATCCCCTTTCTTGCAATCCTGCATGTTGAAACGCTTTAGGAAAGTGTCTATGTATGTGGATTGGGATAGGCACAACTTTCTCTTCTCTCGGTCGCAAATAACCTTGATTCCGAGAACATGTCCTACTTCACCCAAATCCTTCATATCAAACTG